TGGTTCAGCCTAATGTGAGATATACATATATATTCTTAGTCTGGTGATACAGGTATATGACCTTCACCGTGTCTTCTATCTCATACACAAACAAAATTCCTCCTGGCATTCCACAAACAGCACTCAAATAGCGACTGGATGATATTATCTACGGAGGGTTCATTCGACTCGGTTAACATACATCACATTTGGTAATGTAACGAGAACGTGAGAGAGAGAGAGAAATGGGGTTTACGTCCACTCGACACAAACCAGATAACTTTGGGACTAACATACTAACATATGGTTTAATTTTATTTCAATAATTCGCTTGCGCGTAGGGGTCTTTAGCAGTGGGGGGAAACCGAAGGACCCGGAGAAAACCCACGAGGTTGGACAGGCGACCCTACTCCTTGTCACGTACAACCGGGGATTCGAAACCACACCAGTTGGCTCAATGAAAGGCCTTATGATACAGCACCCACGTGCTAACCATTCGGCCATTCAACCCCCCGTAACGAGAACGTCCTGCTTTTCTAAGACAGGTATACCTACGCAATATGTGCTGTAGATAAAGTTTGCCTGAACAGCGGCGTTTCCGCCTAGTCTACGTCTAATTACAACTGTCAAGTGTTCTTTTACATGTACGTCATATACGTTGTTATATCATCGCTCTCCGTTTTTGTTCTTGTAATAAAGCAGTCTCATTTCCGGTCAGCTCGTGTTGTCATTCAAACCCACGTGGTGAAATGAAATGAAATGAAATGGGGTTTAACGTCCTACTATTCTGCTCCGAACTGGGCTAATAAGACGGCCACACGCCATACAGTGTGCTATGATGGAAAGTTGGCCCGGAAAGCGGCACTAAGGCTTACTCATATCGAATTCCAACTGTCAAGGGATCTTTTACGTGCACGCCAATGTGTACAAGGGATCTCGCTTTTTTGTCCCATCCGAACGACTAGACAGCTGTCCTTGTCAGGCCCTCCGTCCTGCATCACTAACAAGGGGGAACCGTGCCGGATTCGGGGTGAACTTTCTCGGTCAATGCAAGGATCAAACACCCGACCTCAAGGCTCGCGAGCCAGTCTTACCCACTTAGTCACCGTGACCTCACCCCACGCGGTGAAGATAGAAATTCATTGTGGCCCTTCAAGACATACATGGTGTCATTCAGTGGGATGATTTTTGAAGGATTCAGCCAAATTTAATAACATATGATATTGGCACGAATGGCGAGGATATAACATTGCCGGTCCCTCTGTCCTTTATCACTGACAAGGGGAAACCAGACTTGAAAGATCCCGATTAACCTCTAGCACCAAAACCGGGGTCGAACCCGCGAGCTTCTGGTTAGTGAATAACCAAATGATTACTGGAGTTACATAAAATGTGGTAACGGTGAATCTACGTAATACATTCTTTAAAGTAGGTGAATGTAAGGGGCAGGCAAATAAATGAAATGAAATGGGGTTTAACGTCCTACTATTCGACTCCGATTTTGGCTAATGAAGACGGGCATACGCCATACAGTGTGCGATGAGGGAAATCTTGCCCGACAGCGGCACCATGGTCTACTCTCATATTGAATTCCAACTGCTAAGGGATCTTTTACGTGCATGCCAATGTATACACGGGACCTCGGTTGGCAGACAAATAGAAATACAGATATTTTGATCTTCGTAACCATTGATCACGCCATTCCCATTATCAGTGTCTCGGTGATCATATCCTTGGTCCATCTCTGTTCAGCACAGATTGCAGGTTCCTGGTCAGTGAGAGAGAGACAGAGACAGAGATGGGGTTTAACGTCCACTCGACACAAACTAGGCCATCTCGGGACTAATATATGGTTAAATTTTATTTCAATAATTCCCTTGCGCGTAGGGTTCTTGAGCATTGGGAAGAAATCGGAGGACCCGGGTAAAAAACGACCTCGCATACGAGGGGAAAAATGATTTATACGTGTAGTGTGGGAAAGCTGGTTTCTTTCCTCCTTGTGTCACGCATTCTTAACCACGATGAAAGCCCAAAGAAACCAGTTGCCCCGAGTGCCAAGATGCAACCAAGTCCGCTCCTGTTTATATCAAGAACGATTCATATTATCAACACTAGTAAGGCAAAGAACGTGAGAAAGGAAGAGTTATGTCCCATTAACCAATGGTAGTATAACGAGAGATGGTATAGTAGATATGGCGTGTTTTAACGTCCACTCAACACAAAGTAGGTTATATCGGACCTAACATGACCTGGCATATCTGTATTTCAGTAATTCATTGGGGCGCAGTGGGGGTAAATTGAAAAATCCTTTTTTACGAAGATGAGGCTACAAAGGGCTGCGGTGGTCAATCAGTAGGATACAGACCTCTCGACATGATAGGATAGATTCAAATCTCGGTGTGGGACAATCTGGAATTTTGTACCCCCTGTTGTCACTTACCAGCGTTGGCGCCTAAGGTGCCTGACGGAAAAATTGACCAGTTTAGATCAGACAACAACCGAGGATTGCATTATCCAAATTGAGGTGTACGCAAATGAATCCAAGGGGAATAACTCCTACTTGCTTAAAACGATTCATTCAGACATATAAAGCATTTAACTTCAGCTGAACATAACTAGGTTACCACTATTCTAAATTTACAGTGTAGCTGACGTTTCATTAAGTTTGAGAGAAAACATGGGGACCCACACAACAGGCGAACCAGAACCCTGTTTTGCAATCGCTACACTTCTGCTAAAATACGTCCCAGACATGAGAAGTGACCCGCTAAATTTGACTTGTAAACAAAAAATGAAATGGAGTTTAATGTCCTATTTGTCCACACCAATCGTGCAAATAAAGTAGGACACACACGAGGGTTATTTTGAATATTATTGAACTATTCACCGGGCGTTGGAATATGTAAAATTTGGCGTCACGACCATCGCCTTGTTTAACAAGGACAGAGGACGTTAAAAGTTGCCAGGGGCTGAAAACAATGGTAGCAGTTTAACTTTCTGTACACATCGTCTGTCCATGTCTCCTAGATTTCAGTATTATAAATTGAAGAAATGATGTTTAACGTCACGACAGGAAGTGAGAGAGCGAAATGGGGTTTAACGTCATTTCGGGACTAACATATGGTTCAATTTTATTCCAATAATTCGCTTGCGCGTAGGGGTCTTTAGCCTTGGGAGGCAACCGAAGGACTCGGAGAAAACCCACGAGGTTAGACAGGCGACCCTACTACTTGTTACGTACAAGCGGGGAATCGAAACCACGCCAGTTGACTCAATGACAGACCTTATGATACAGCGCGCACGTGCTGCTAACCATTCGGCCATCCAACCCCCCACGACAGGAAGTACATACATTCTTTATTTGTCATGGCCACGCGTGCAATGTGTCAAAAAATTTCCACCTGCTCTTCTGCGAATTCCTGACGAACATCGGAATTTTAACTCCAGGAATTCTAGTCGACATTCCATCACGGCCCCCAATAAGTTATAGGAATGGACAGCTATGTGGGATCTTTTTGCCCAACCAGATCCATCACCGTCTATTCCTCATAGATTGCCAAGTTCATGCCAATAATTATACGGGTGGGCCTCGGTTTTTCGGTGTCATACGAAACAAACTGATTAAAACACAGGGCCCTTATTCACGAAAACTTAAACTAAGATACAATCGAAATTTTAAGAAATACTGCAATTCGATTGGCTGACCAGTAAAATCAATTTGCATATATCCAATCTGCATATTGGTCAGCCAATCGAATTGCAGTATTTCTTAAAATTTCGATTGTATCTTAGTTTAAGTTTTCGTGAATAAGGGCCCTGATCTACATTTCGTTTCGTTCTTTTATACTTTCGGTGGCCTAACCTTGTGTAGTAAAGACAACTAAAACGAAATTTTGAATAACTATAAAATACGTAACGACACCGGATCTGAGTTTTAATCAGAATGAATCAGAAACAGCCCCCCTCCCCCAACCCCTGCGCCATTGACAAGTCACCCCATTAAGTTTTCATCAGGTTCACCAGATACGATTTCTTTACTGTCTTAATTGTATTTTTGCAAATCACAAGAATATATTTTGAGGTTGCCCATGTGTGTGTTCAGATAGAGGTTGCGTAGGACCCCCCTCCCCCTGAGCCTTTGTGCTGGAGCAGTGCCTATTTTGTCCCCACCAACCGTCGACATGGCTTTACTAGACTTAAACCCCAACATGTGTTCACCTAAATGAGCATGTATAGTGTCTCAGAGCATCTGCTTTTATAAAATTCGCGGGTAATCCCTAGACCTCACGCCAAACTTGACTTTGTCTGCACCACGGGCCCTCCTCGGCGTTAATTAACCCCGAGGGAACGCATCTCTAACCAAAGACTATTAATAAAACAAAAAAAAAACACCCACGTGACGTGTTGAAGAGGTTATAACCTCAAATCCATTCCTCATAAAACAAACCCAGGAAGTCTGCTGCACTAACTCAAACGTCACAAACACCGCTTTCTTTTCGTAAACGATGTCACTTCAAAAAATTCACACACAACCCTGTATTGGATTTAAACTAAATCTAAACAAAACTAACCAATGAGCGTCTACTTGCACCACAAAAGGGATAACTCACAGAGCAAAAGATGGAATATATAAAGTATAATAATAAGATTCTACACCAAAAACCATGCTAAAGTCATGCCAATTTCGATTTTTCGAAGATAAATATATTCAGAATATATTTCAATTTCTTTTTTTATTTAAATCGTGCAACTGAAAAATAATGTTTCGTTTCGGTTCTTTTCAAACTTTAAAAAGATTCGGAACGAAATATTAAAAATAATAAATAGATATAATAGTGAAGATAGTAGGAAGACGAAAGAATAATAATCCAGTACCTCTTTGGGTGCAAGTAGCTGAACACGTTGTCAATGTCCATAGTGAGTTACTCGAGTGATAGGGCGTGTGAAAATTGTGAAATCACATTTTTACGAAACGAAAAGATAGATGAAATACAAATGTGCAAAAAAATTGAAAGTAGAAATTTGATAAATTAAAACTTTATTTTGAAATAAAAATACACCATTGTTTATTGATTATAATTTAAGAGAATGTGAATAGGAATCAGTGTTTTACTATAAAATTGTGAATTTTGTTAGTAAGTTTATTGTTGTTTAACATTTCTCGTTTTCTAAGGATTTTGGAATTTCTTGTCTGAAGAAAATAGTGTCACCCATATATTTATATATATCTATAAATTCCAATACTTAAATTAATTAACTTTACGTTAGAACTAATTCTAAAATGCCGTGTTTAAACTTTTGAGGGGGTGGGGGTAACTGTGGATAAAGTTTTTTTTCTAAACAGTTCAAGCATTGAAATATTTATCTTGTGCAAAGTTAAGATGTCGATAACGATTCGTTTATTTAAGAAGATATCTAACAGAATGACATCAATAACGAAAACAACCGTGTGCATCAATCGACGTTACATTTGTTTCAAGTTGATTAATCTGTGTTTTTAAATAGATGTGTTTTTTCTGACGCTTTCTAAATTTCAAGAAAATTTACAGAACATGACATCGTTTCCGCAAATTAAAATGATTTTATTTGTAGAGATCCGGAATATTTAAATTCAAAGCGGGTCTTTGATATCAGATCCACGGATGAAGAATACTCTGCGATTACTTTTTGAAATTTATAATATTTGTTGTTACTGTTGTCGCGCTTAACGTGTGTATACCCCTTAGACAGGCCTTGGGGGTAAAAATAAGCCCCAGAGTCGGATATTTTGAAGGTACGCGAACTATGGGACATGTATTGTAACAACCAAAGGCTACGATCAACCTCAACCTGGCGATTATCAGTGGTGGTGAATGGTAGTTGTATTACCGAGTGGCCGACTAGAAATCACGTGATAGAGAAGATAACTCTAATTGGCTTGCACTTTTCAACGATGGCGTACGAGGGTGTTCAATAGTTTGACAGAACGATACTAGTGACTATTTTTCGTCCTATTGAAAAGTTGTGTCGGGGATTCTGCAATGTAAAGGCATGTCCTGTTATTTGCACGACAAGTAACATTACCTAAATGGGGCAATGGTTGGGAATTATGTGTAAATTGAGTGACACTATTCTTTCTGGCTAAATCATGGTTGTCCCTGTAACTGTTTTTATACTGGGATCATTTAAATTTGTTGTTAATTATTTGCAACGGGTTTTAATTTTGTGCAATTATTTTCCAAGAAGAAAGAAAAAGAATATCCACACGATTTGTATATTTTTTGTAGCCTCAGTAAAAAATATTTTATATTTTGTAGGAAAACTTCCCCAGCCTCACCATAGCCACTCATACTGACACTTCTAGCTGTCTTGCACCCACAGTGGTATCCGGTCACGTGACTTGGAAAACAGTCACGTGGCGATCATATTCATTCATCACGCATAATACATCTCACCAGTAAGTTTAGTACGTCTGGAATGACGAAGACAAAAGTAAACATACATGCACCAAATGAATCGAGACTATTTTTATACATATATACTAATATTTGTGACAGTCGTTTGTTTGTCTGTCTGTCTGTCTGTTCGGGGTTGGCGGCTACATTAGGGCTGTCCCGGGGCTGAAATTCGGAGTATAGGGGTAGCTCGGACCAAAGAGTAACAGGCTAGGTGGCATTGGTCTACTGCTTCCGGTTTCGGAGTTACAGACACGGCCCGAGCAACGCCGGGTCATCCGTTAGTTTATAATAATAGATAGAATGGCTACCGATGCGAGTTGGTTTTAAGTGTTGGTTGTTTAGCAATTGGCGGACTTCGGATTGAGCCGTGGAAAATTTGACACACAGAGACTGTAATAAACTGCACGAGTAAACACAGAAAAAAAATTGTGAGACGAGTAAAAGTTCAACTCACAATATAAGTAGACACATATCCTCAAACAGACAAATTTTTAACGAAAACAATCATTAGGCGGAAATTGTTTAGGTCCCGAGTTCACAAAGCATTCTCAGACTTAAGTAAAGAATTTACTCATTTTTCAGTCACTGTTTATGGGAAATATCTTTGATCCAGAAACATAAAACTTTACACATAGTTTCTTATCGATGTACATGTATTTGAATAAAATAACAAAAGTTTTATAAAGGGCTATATTTTGGTTAAAATAAAATAAGGCGAACAATTTAGAGTAAATTATTAACCCAAGTCTGAGAATGCTTTGTGAACTCGGGAAAAGTTTTAAATGTAAATAATCACAAACGTACTCGAATCCCCAGATGTTGGGTTTCTTCGTACTGGAATCCCCAGATGTTGGGTTTCTTTGTACTTAGAGTAGAATATTCCAGCATTGCGTTTATCACAGCTAGAGAAATATTCTCCGTAGATAAGAACTTTTGATAAATGCGGTCCCAGGACTATTGAGAAATAAAATTAAGAATTATAAAAGTACTGACCCGTCTATCTCTTGTATCTTGTTCTGTCTGAGATCTGGGTACTTTCTGTTTTAAATCAGCAATCTGAAACAAATAAACAGAAAACTAAGAATGACATTTAGAAGACGAATTTTTGACTAAAATACGTTTGGCTACCAGACTAATGAATCGGATTGTGAAATCAGAGGGCAAGTATATTAGATTTTGCAACAATTTAACATTTTTAATGCGATGCAGAGATAGTGCCATTATTCAATCAAAGGTGTTAAGTTTTAATTGTATTTGATTGTTATTTTTGTTGCATATTCTGTATGTATTTGCCTACTATTCACATACCCGTATCATTTGCTTGATAAAGATGAGCGCATCCTCCTCGTCGAAATGTCACTTAGTATTAAACTCAGTAATTGTGTATCGATAAAATTGTATCTTGTGTTAAAATGAGTTTTATGATTCTGAATTCTTCATACAATCTTTTGACGTCATTTCGTGACATTATTTTATGGCATATTCCCGTTCATACGTCACGGTTAAAATATCAAAGAACCCTGAAATTCCACCACTCATCCCGAGTTGTAATCAATATACCCAGATATGAGATGAAATGAAATGGGGTTAAACGTCCTACTGTTCAGCTCCTGACAGGGCTAATGAAGACGGGTATACACCATAAAATGTGCTATGAAGGGAATGTTGCCCGGACAGCGGCACTACAGTTTACTTTTATATCGAATTTCAACTGCCGATGGATCTTTTACGTGCACGCCAATGTGTACCCGGGACCTCGTTTTTCGTCTCATCCGAACGATTATACGCTGTCCCTTGCCAGGCCCACTATTATGTGCCACTGACAAGGGGGAGCCACGCCGGAAACTCTTGATGAACGTCTTGGTCCAATGCAAGGATCGAACACCCGACATCCAGTTTAGCAAGCCAACGTCTTACCCGCCTAGCCACCGTGGCTCCCAGAGGGCCATATAGGTCATCTCAACAATAAATTGGTATGCGTATCGGATTCGGACCGTCGCAGCCTTTCAACACAATCAATTACCATGTAAGTATAAAGGGGGAGGGGGCGATTACAAACAAATACCATATTTATTGCTTCTACTGGAGTATACAGGTCACAATTCTATGGAATACAATTACTGCTTATTACTGAGCGACGTTTCGACTAGGCTTCTCTAGTCATTATCAAGAAGCCTAATCGAAACGTCGCTCAGTAATAAGCAGTAATTGTATTCTATAGAATTGTGACCTGTACACCATATTTATTATTGCCATGTTTCTCTAGAATGCATGTTAACTCGTCTAAAATACATAAATATGACTGTTTGAAATTTATAGAAACCAATCTAAAATTTAAAACTTTTAAAGGACAATAGTGGTGCCAGTCATTATCACATATGTGATAGAACTGGTTTAACACGTTCCAAATATTATTTTATCCTTTCAGTCTCACACTACAACTTTTGGTCTTCGAAGGAATTATTAGTGAGCAGAAATTCGCCCGTGTATCTGTTATCACTCGTCACTTCAGTCAGTTATAGAGAGGGATAACTCATGTTTTCCCTTTGCGTTCGTCACTTCCGATTATAGAAAGAGAGATTACACATCTATCATAGCAATGATCTCTGTGATAAAATAATATTTGGAATGTGTTTAACCAGTTCTATCACATATGTGATAATGACTGGCACCAATATTGTCCTTTAATTGCCGATAGCGTAAGTTACAATTGATCGGTCTGAATAGCAATGTGTTCTTGATAAAAGTACTATAGGTGGTGTATTTCTTGTTTAACTTTACTCTGGTTTGTTGGCATCTTTTAAGGATTGTCGGCCAATGTCCAATTTTAAAGATAATGGGTTACGTGTCCGGATAAGCAGTTTTGACGTTCACGCCCAAACGACTCAATATTTTGAGCTGACATTTTGACACAAGGTAAATACACCATTCCTCTATATTTTGGCGCTTAAATTTCATACGTACTCAGACTTTTATTTTTGAGACTCTGTTCAAATCGGGACAGTCCCTTTAAGGGTAATAAATCATTATGCAATTGACTGAATATTCAAGTTTAAGGATACTGGGGTAATATACAAGATTACAGATATTGGATCACTGTCCAAGGAATGTGGGTCAATATCCAAATTTAAGGATAGTAGGTCAATATCTACGTTTAAGGATAGTAGGTCAATATCTACGTTTAAGGATAGTAGGTCAGTGACTAAGTTTAAGGACAGTAGGTCAATGTCTAAGTTTAAGGATAGTAGGTCAATGTCTAAATTTAAGGATAATAGGTCAGGGCCCAAAACTAAGGATAGTGGGTAGATTAAGAAGTTAGTATCATCAGTTATATCGAATTCTGTATCAAATAAACTATCTTAACGAGATCAAAGTATGTAAACATCTTAATATAACAACCACTTTGGTACATCTTCTACTCGCACCTGCTGGGTGATAGTGATTATCACTATAGTAACCTATCATCTTTAACCAATCACTAGTCAGTTTACACACGTTCGGTTATCAGGGTGTTATCAGATACATTAGGTTTTATTAGTAGTTTATCAACAAGAGTTGCTGTAAACTGATCTTCTAGTCATCAGTTCATCCATAACCCCAAGTTTACATCTTAAATGAAACGAAATAAAATTAACGTTCTAATCTTCTACGCCATCCAGGGAGCCACGGTGGTTCTATGGGTAAGACGTTGGGTCGCTAACCTGGAGGTCCCGTGCTCGGTCCCTGCGTTGGCCGAGAAAGTTCATCGGGATTTTCCGGCGAGGTTCCACCTTGTCAGTGGAGCAGGACAGAGGGCCTGATAAGAAACACATAATCTTTCGTATGGAACGAAAAATCGAGGTCCCGTGTACACATTGGCGTGCACGTAAATGACACCTTGGCAGTTGGAATTCGATATAAGAATAGACCGTAGTGCCGCCGTCCGGGCAAAATTTTCCTCATAGCACACTGTATGGCGTATGCCCGTCTTCATTAGCCCAGTCGGAGTAAAACAGTTGGACGTTAAATTCCACTTCATTTCACTTCTGTACCATCCAGAATAATGCAGACGTGGTATACGGCTCCTTACGCTACAAGCAATGACGGATCTCGTAGGCTACTATGTGATTCAGGGTATGCCTACACATTTTAGAACTTTAGGTGCTACAATTGTCACTTGGCACAGATAAGAGAGCGAGAAAAATGGGGTTTAACGTCCACTTGACTCAAACTAGGTCATTTCGGGACTAACACATGGTTCAATTTTATTTCAATAATTCGCTTGCGCGTAGGGGTCTGTAGCAGTAGGAGGAAACCGGAGAACCCGGAGAAAACCCACAACGTCGGACAGGCGACCCTACTCCTTGTCACGTACAACCGGGGATTCGAAACCCCGCCAGTGGACTCAATGACAGACCGTATGATACAGCGTGCGCGTGCTGACCATTCGGCCATCCAACTCCCCTGGCACAGATAAAGTTGTTTGTTGTACTTCTTAGAGATAATCCACCTATTTAAACCTTATAATAAAAGGACGACACTGGCGGGATCAGCATTAGCAGTTGTCAATTGGAAATGGTAGAAACGCGTAGAATTGACCAATGTTCTAAAAAAAGGGACTTGCATCCGCCACATTAAAAAATCTGGTAGCGCTGACGACGCCACAAATGCATTCTTTAATTATTAAGGATAGGGCTTAGAATTATCCAAAAGTTGACCTAAGTAGCCGTCATCATTAACCAGGGGGTCACCACCTTTAAGATACTGTACGAATAGTAATAAGGGTGTAAAAAACACTACAGAAATAGACGGGTGGGTCGTCCCCTTTAATATATTGGAGGAACATGAATTACGGTAAAAATGACAGGCCATTACCTTTAAGACATTAGACCAATAGCAATGATTTGACAGTACAACCGTTGGTGTTTTAAGATACATACGGGCCATCCCCTTTAAGATATTAGTCCAATAGTAATTATGGTAAAAGAATTTGGCAGTACATTGGTATTTTAAGCCAGAAGAAATGTGTTTTCTACATGATCAGATTTTTTCTCCCTGGATTATTTGTTGGCAAGTTCTCGACAATTGTTGTACGTGGATTATTTTACACATACATTCTTATAAATAGCATTTTCATAGTCCATGAGTATAACTTGAGAAGAGGTATCGGATGTTCTTGACAGATCATTTTACACATAGATAAAAGTAGGGCACACGTATTTACGAATAGCATCTTCGTGGTCCACGAGATTAATTTGAGAAGTGGTATGAGATATTCTCGGCAACAGTTCTATTTTACACATAGATAAAACGGGAACACACTCTATTTTGAATAGCATCTTCGTGGTCCATGAGATTAATTTGAGGAGTGGTATCAGATATTCTCGGCAATGGTTCTATTTTACACATAGATCAAAGTAAGATATACGCTCTTATAAATAGCATCTATATGGTTCATAGGTGTACATTGAGAAGTGTTGTGATATACGCTCTTATAAATAGCATTTTAATGATTCATGAGTATAAATTGAGAAGTGCTGTCGGGTGTTCTAGGTGGATCACATTACACATTTCAAAGAAAAAACGAAAGTCAGTATGTTTATTGATTTTATTCCCATGGCTGTCGACTGCTGGACGCACGATCGGCTTCATCTCAGCAATGGCTTTATCAACGGACTCGTCAAAAATGTAATCAAACCAACAATGTATCTTTAATTAATCCAAATCAAAGAACAACTAATAAACACAACACAATTTATATGGAAATACAATCATTGGTTTGTACACATATAGCACGACGTTTCGACAAGTATTCTCTTATCGTTTTCAAGCACAAACGTCATGGTATGCATAAACCAGTGATTGTATTTCAATATAAATTGTGTTGTGTTTTTAATGTGTTCAATCGATAAATGCAACTCAAGGATTACAAAGAGGAGCTGACAATTAATGTCATATTCTAAACTTACAGAAGCATTAGATAAGATGTGGCCGTTCTCGCTATAATAATTAAAAGAAGATAACAAAAAGGGCGATACTTGTATCTGGTATGTTGTCCTTTTAAACGCGATATGTCG